CTTGTCACGTTCGCTCCACCCTCCAAACGATAGTGCAAAATGTCATGCTCGTTGCACTTGACAAGTTGAATGAATAGTATGTTTAACCGTCGTTGAATCGCGGATATCTACGTAAGCTACGAAAAGCATAGATCCTTGTCTAAATTCACGTACAGATGCCCATAATAGACGGTGTGTTAACCATGTCATGATCAGACACTTGGCTAACAGATTATTATTATTATTATTTTTTTTTTGGGCTAACAGATTACATGCTAAGGTTAAACGACTAATAAGTCGGATATTTGGCCGAGTACTGCCACAGCAAGTTAAAATGCACTTTAATAATATCTTAGTTCGGTCTGTCTACAGAAAGACTTACACGAGATTACACTAAAGCCGACTAAAAACTCATCGCATAGCACTTTAATAATCTCTAAGTTCAGTTTGTCGAGTAACGAGATTACATTAAAGTCGACTAAAAGCTAACTATGGCGCTTTAATGATTCCTAAATAAGATCTGACGATTTAAACAAAGGGACAATCACATTAAAGCCAATCAAAAATCTTTAAGTTACAAAAAAAAAAAACTTTAAGTTACAGCCAAGATATAAACGATATACATATATATAAACAAACAACAACGACAAAAGGAATCTTGTTAGATTCGGGTTTATTATGGGCTTCAAAATTAAAACCAATTAGTGATTAGTGGATTGGTTATAACCCTTTATATATTACTTAAGGTCTCATTGATTTGTCGATGTAAGATATATTATCCCTAATACCCCTCCTCGAGATGATGGTTCTTATCGGCAAGAAATTTCGGAACTTTAAGACAATTATATTCGGTCGAAAGGATTAATTAATTAATTAGGAGTTTAGAGCTTTTAGGATATGAGCTATAATACCATATTAGATTCGGGTTTATTATGGGCTTACAATTTAAAACGAATTGGTAATTAGTGGATTAGTCATAAATCTTTATGTATTACTTAAGGTCCCACTAATTTTCCGATGTGGGATATATTATTCCTAATAAACCTACTTAGCGCATTCCTTGTATTAACCTTGGCCAAGGGTCTTTGGCTCCTCCCGCTGAAGTCTTTCACTCCTCATCGGCAGCAACGACCGAGACTTGATCATCATTTCCAACTTCACCCAGGTTGGTATACACACTCGATACTGAAAAACGCCATGACATGATTGAGTTGTTCAATTATATATCTATAATATATATGATATATAGTATAACATAATATATATGCACAATACATATGACAAAAGTCACACGCGCAGAAGTAGAGATTGGTCAGTTTCTTTACCAAATCGCCACATCCAAAGTATCACTTTATTATATGGTTAGCTTCTTGATTTTCCTCTCAACAATCCTCTAGCTAATTCATCCTTAAAATATCCCCAATATATTAATTGAGAAACATTTAAAAAATTGTAACATTAACTTTGTATTAATTAAAAAATAACTCAATCTTTCGTGGTACCTCTTTATGCATTTTATTTCAATTTAGAAAGATTCTAAAGCATCTCATATAAAGTATAGTTTTAAGAAATGTTCTGTTGGTTTCATAAAGACATATCAAACTAAATCTTATATATATCCTTTCCTTAAATAAAACCTACGGAATTAACTAATGTGATTAAAATATATATGACTATTAATGATTTTAAACAATAAAGATTTGTTAACAATATGTATACTTTGTATCATTTTTGTTTAATTTTTATTATTAAAATAAATTACACAACTACATTAATCATATAATAAAAATTTAGATTTTTTTTATATATGTTGTATTTTGAAATTTTTAAAACAAGTAGAAATTACTAAAACTGTCAAAAATATCACATAAACTTTTGTGATCAAGATATAATTTTATGTTATAATAAATTACAATGATTATAAAATCATATGAATAAACAATTTTATATTAATAGGTGTTTATGTTAATATATATATATATATATATATCTCATATCCTATGAATAAATAATATTATTTTAAACATAATTATAATTTAAAATTTAACTTAATTTTTTTATAAAATTATTTTTTATTTAAAAAAGGTTTTTAAAAATATAACTTTCTGATATTATTAGATAAATAAATAAATTATATTAAATTAGTTTTCAAAATTTATATATCTAAATGGAAATATTCTATCAACTGGTTCTTAAGAAAGTATTTGGGAACTTAATAATGCTCTACCAATTAGACCCTGTGACATTTCGTTTATTTTCTGTCACTTGAACACTGAAAAGTGGAAAGATATATGAACCGGACCCATTAAATTTTAAAGTTTGATCTACAGTCTAGTTACTGTTGTTTCTGATCCGACGTATAGATAATTATATAAAATTCCAAAATTCTAAATACATATAAAACAATTATATGTACATTTTAAATTTGTCAATACTAAAATTTATATTTTAATTTCATCACTCACCATACGCAAAGCGCATATCTTATCCTAGTTATCAGTATTTGACACATATTATGATCAGCTGATAACTTTTAAAAATTATAAGGAAATATATTAGAACTCCTATGATATGTAAGGAAAAATAAAACATTCAAATTTTAAAATCAGTAACCCAAAATTATCTGGCCCTTTTGGTCTTTTCCACGTATCTTCTCCCAAGTATCTAAGAGCACTTTTATCGCTGTTGTTTAGGCGGTGCTTATCATCTATGGCCCCACAAAAACAACAAGCTTCGACACCCCCAGCTCCAGTTCAAGCGTTCTCTTTTTTCAGTTCTTGCACTATTTTGCGGACCCACTGACACGTAGCAGTCTGCAATTGTTGCTTTTAAAACTTTTTAAAAAAAAAAAATCCGAAAAAGAAGAAAAGTTAAAAAAAAAAAACTAAGTACCCCTTTTTCTTGTTCCTGGATAATTGTGCTCTAAGCTTTGTCAAGACAAAAAGAAAGTTGACTTTTGGCCCGTTCCCCTGTTTTCTGCCATGGAAACAAAGAAGTCGAAGCTTGCAAAAAAGAAAAACATCTCCGATGATGTAAAAACAAGCGGAGAAGATTCGATTCCTCTTGATCTCGTTCCAGATATACTCCAAGGATTTCCTGTTAAAATCCTAGCAAGGTTCCTCTGTGTATCAATCGACCAATTTCTGATAGGAAGATCGATCGATGACTCTAGTCAAGCAATACACACGAGTTAACTCACTAAAGATTTCTAAATCAAATTATGTCAATTATATTTCTTATAAATCCTAGCTTGATAAAGATGTTCAGGATATCTAGAATTACTTAAATGTCTCTAATCCAACCTAAATAATCCAAGATTCAATGTTTCTAGTTAGCTACTCTATAACCATGAGCAAATAAATAATCCTATCAATAAGTATCACAACTAGCAATCCTATAGTTGGGGTTAATCCCTATAACTTATTTGAACCCTAAACCTAACAGGTGGATCTACTCTATCATGAAGTTTGTCACAGAAATCATAGCAAGAATAAATGAATAAAATAGAATATATATAAAATATAAAACCAAACAAAAACCAAAGAATCAAAAGAGTTCCAGGAGGACTCTGAAGGAGTTCCTCCCTTCTCTCCTAGAACTAAGAACAATACAAGTAAAAGAGAGTAGTCGTCAACAATGACATGCAAATAACATAAATAGGGTTTCTGGTCATCCAAGGGCATTCTGGTAATTTATGCTTCTTCTGGGCTTAACTCGGTCTTGAAACATACTCTATCTGCGTTCTGTGATCTCCATCGATCGACACAAGTAGTGTTGGATCGGTCGATTCTTCTTTATCTTCTAGATAGCTTCCTTTCGCGAGGCATATTGACCACACTTCAGTAAAAAGGGCAGCTACATGATGCTGATTGACCTCAAACCGGTGGCATTGTAAAGTTAACTCAAATATCTATCTCTTGTCAAAAGATGGGTGAAATCTAACGGTGGGAAGTTCTCGATCCATAGCGAAACATCTGATGCGTCTATGCAGTTATGCACTCAAAGGGCTCCAAAAGACACCAAAATCACCATATTTCACAACTACACTAATCACCATATTAAAATAAATTACACAACTACACTAATCATATAATAAAAATTAAAAAAATTTTATATATGTTGTATTTTGAAATTTTTAAACGAGTATAAATTACTAAAACAGTCAAAAATATCACATAAACTTTTGTGATCAAGATCTAATTTTCTTTTATAATTAGTTACAATGATTATAAAATCATATGAATAAATAATTTTATATTAATAGGTGTTTATGTTAATATATATGCATATATATATATATATATATATATATCTCATATCGTATGAATAAATAATATTATTTTAAACATAATTAAAATTTAAAATTTAACTTACCTTTTTTATAAAATTATTTTTTATTTAAAAAAAGTTTTTTAAATATAATTTTCTGATATTATTAGATAAATAAATAAATTATATTAAATTAGTTTTGAAACTTTATATATCTAAATGGAAATATTCTATCAATTGCTTCTTAAGAAAGTATATGGGAACTTGATAATGCTCTACTAATTAGACCATGTGACACTTCGTTTATTTTCTTTCACACGAACACTGAAAAATGAAAAGATATAAGAACCAGACCATTAAATTTTAAGTTTTGATCTACAGTTCCAGTTACAATTGTTTCTGATCCTACGTATAGATAATTATATAAAAACTCCAAAATTTCAAATACATATAAAAATAGTTATATGTACATTTTAAATTTGTCAATACTTATTTTATATTTTAATTACATTCACTCACCATACGTTTTGCGCATATCTTATCCTAGTTATCAGTATTTGACACATATTATGATCAACTGGTAACTTTTAAATATTATAAGGAAATAGATTAGAACTCCTATGATATGTAAGGAAAAATAAAACATTCAAATTGGCCCTTTTGGTCTTTTCCACGCATCTTCTCTCAAGTATCTAAGCTCTGTCAAGACAAAAAGAAAGTTGACTTTTGGCCCGTTCCCCTGTTTTTCTGCCATGGAAACACAGAAGTCGAAGCTTGCAAAAAAGAAAAACATCTCCGATGATGTAAAAACAAGTGGAGAAGATTCGATTCCTCTTGATCTCATTCCAGATATACTCAAAGGATTGCCTGTTAAAACCCTTGCAAGGTTCCTCTGTGTATCAAAGACTTGGTCATCCATCATTCGCAACCGTGATTTTTTGAAAGTCTACTTGATCAAGTCGTCGTCGACTAATCCTGGAGGTCTCATCTTCACATTCAAGAGCAAACGTCACGGAAAACACTTCTTCTTCTAAGCGAGTCAACCTCAAGATGGAGATGAATCATCATTGTCTTGGGCAGCAAGTTACCATATGAAATGCCATTCTCAACCCTACATTGTCATTTCTCCGTCGGTCCACGGTTTGATTTGCTATGGACCTCCTTCTAAGCTCATGATATACAACCCTAGCACGAGACGATCCATTGCTTTGCCCAAGATTGATTCTCATAGATTACGTATGTACCATTTCTTGGGTTATCATCTCATAGATGGTGAACACAAAATCTTGTGTATGAGTAGAGGCATGCATGTTCGTAGGGGACGTGGCTTAGCTCACAAGATTCAAGTTTTGACATTGGGAAATGGGAACTCGTGGAGGATGATCATGATTGTCCTCCCCACTCTCCTGAATCAACTCATATATGTATAGATGGTGTTTTATACTATGGAGGTTGTCTGGATACAGGTACACGTCTCCTTCGTAAAGATCATGTAGTCATGTGCTTTGATGCTCGGTCTGAAAAATATGATATAATAGGTTTACAAGAATGACAAGATACAATGGGAAGCTTGCTATCATGTTCACTGGATATGGTTGATTTGGTCGTGGTTACTCTGGTTATATTGAATTGTGGGTTTTAGAGGATGCTGCAACACATGAATGGTCTAATAAGAATTTCGTCTTGCCTAGATTAGCTAGCCGGGATACCTTGTTTCAAGTCTTTTGTGCCGTTGATGATTCAGGCGAATTTATTTTGGCACCAGAAACTTTGGGCGCACCACCATTTTATGTTTTGTATTATGATCCTAAGAACAATATGTTGGGAATATTCTAAAATCATTTGTACTTACTCTTTCTAAAGTCGAAAAGTCGAGGTTTGACAATCATATAAAATTAGGCGGTTATAATGTTTTGTTAGAAATCCTTTATAATCTATAGATTGAGAATTTATTACTAACTTTATATGATCCTATAGGGTCACACACCTAAGCAAATTGGATCAAAGATATATTGGATTCTAGGAATAATATATATATATATATATATATATGATATCTTATATTATAAAGTAGACTTTTTTTTCTCCATAGGGGGAAAAATGCCATGTGTCACATTCTTTTAATGATCTTTTTATATTTATTATATCTAACAAATTTAAGTTTACTTAATGAACCAATAAATGCTAATATAAATTTAAACATTAATTAATACAAATTTTCTATTTCATTATTATTGTTTTAGTTTTCATTTTAATATATATTTTTATCTATGAACAAATGATATATATAAGTTCATTTGATTTTTTTTACAATGTACTTATATTTAGTTTACTTTTTATTAATGTTATATATGCATTTATATTGTAATTGTGATATATGATTTGTTAGTTATAAAATATTTCAAAAGTTTTTCTAAAATAAATATTTATACATCTCTTATATAATAAAGTAGAGCTTTTTCTCTCCATAGAGTCAAAAGATGATATTTGTCATTCTATCATTTGTTGAAAGTGTTTTAGGTCCAATTATAAAAATCTTTTATTTTATTTGAATTTCTATGGATTTTTACAAATGATATGATTTTTAATAAATATTTTTAGTCCAGTAAATTACAAAAAATATCTTTCTCACTTTCAACCTATTCTTCAAGATGGATGAAAACTTTCATGTCTCTCAATATGAAATATCTAAATAAATATCCTTGATTCTTAAATCTATTTGTTCGATTTTAAAATCAATATCCTTGATTCTTAAATTTATTTTTATTTTGAAATCAATATCCTTGATTTCCAAAAGATTTCCGTAAAGTATGAGTTTAAAAGAAAAGAAAAAGCTCCAACAAGAGTCAAACCAAGATGAGGAAAAACTGAATTGCACAACAATTCTGAAACCGAAAGTAAAAAAAAAACCGAAAAAAATTAAAATCATTTTGAAATCAATATCCTTGAATTTTATATCTATTTGCTCAATTTTAAAATCATATGATTTATCAAAGATTTGGATATCCTTGATTTCCGTAAAAGTTATTTTCATTTTGAAATCAATATCTTTGATTCTTAAATCTATTTGCTCGATTTTAAATCATATGATTTATCAAAGATTTCTAAATCCAAATGTTTTTATCATTTGACCAAAGTGATTGTCACATGCATGCATGGGCCTGGCCCTTTAATGAATTAGGTTAATCACTTGCTCATTATATAAACATGTACGGTGATGGTTTTGTGAAAATTACATCTCACGTAAACCCTAGAAGCAACAGAGACAAAGGGTTTTTCAAAGTTTTAAGATCTGATCTTGACGGCACTAGCATCCCGTTCCGATCCAGTTTGTGTGCGTGTGGATACCGGTAGAGGTACGACGCTTGGAGTGCTAATAACCTCGGTTTGTTTCATTCATCTTTCCGCTGCAAATAACATTCAGGTATATGCAAAACCCTAAGATCTAGATTTGTTTCAGTATTGGCATGAGAATCTAGGAAATTGAATTCATAAATAGATTCATAAATCGTTATAAATCGGTATGAATTCGTACAGTGGTATTAGAGCTTACTTGTTGAACGCTGAAATTAGATCTTGGTAAATCTATAATTTGGTATAGATAGATCTAGTAATATTTATTACTTCGAATTGATATGCTCGCAACCCTAATTTGATTACGGTACATATAGGTTGATTTATATATTAGATGTATAATAACCGGATCCTTAAGTTACAGCAATAACAATAACCAAACACGTATATGGAGATATAGTTTTTGGTTTGTAGTGTTTTTGAAAAACAAATGCATTGTGCAGTTGTGCTTATGTTCTGAATAAGATTATACGAACATTAAGATTATTGTAATCAATTAGTTTTGACATGCTTTTGTTTCGTAGTGCTTTTATGCTTGTCTCGATACATGAATTATATTATTTAGAACATGTATATAGCAATAATTGATTGCTTTCGTAAATAATATATGTATTTAGAATAACCAGATTATATCAAAGAGTTGGTATAGATTTGGATATGAACGATTTGGTTAAGTCGAATTTAAAAGAAAAAAAAATACGTTTGATAGTTTTAGTTATAATTCTAATTTGATTAGAATTAAATACTAAGATTATTTAATTAATAATTAATAATTTTAATTAGATTAAACTTAGTTTAATTATTTATAATTCAATTAAAATACATATAAGATATGTATTAGTTATATTTATATTTTATAATGGATATAATTTTAAATATAAGATTAAAATTTGTTCCTCAGATTAATTTCAAGTATTTTTGATGTCTATCCAATCTTATCAACCATCAAGGCTCGTTACGGTGTAAGATGGGTTTGCCAAAGCAAAGTGTCTGAAATTACATAAGTGAGGTGGATGGTAATGGTTACCATATGAAACAAGATTGGTTTACTTAACTAGAATATCAAAACGGTTTTGGTCTTAGAGACATAGGTTGGATAAGACATAAGATGTCATCTGACAAGCAAGAATTATATTGGATATAATTAACAAAGTGTTGTTTACCCAAATTTGATAAGGGTTTTTTGTCCTCAGAGCAAATCAATGTAGTATTTAAGATTGTCGAACCACAGGGAACTAGTGATCTAAACACTAAGAATACAAAAACTTTCCTAATCTAAGCAAATAAGAGAGATAGATGATTTGTAACAAGCTAAGATCCTAAAACTATAAACAAAGGTGATCTCAAATCCAATCAAGAAACAAGTACAAGAACTCAATCAAATGCTAAGGATGGATCCTTGGGTAAGGATAATTGATATAAGGTGATCAAGTTTCAATCTAAAGGTGGAAGCTTTTCAATCAGTCTATCAACATTAAGCTTAGACACAACACTAAGCAAACTCTTTCTCAAGATGGAATCTCATTTTCTCTTAAGAACTTGCCTCTTATTGTAAAACCTTGAAGAATTCGGGGCGATGAGCCAAACCTCACTCGGATTTTAGTGAAATATGAATCTTGGATTATTATATTCATCTGAGGAAAATGTTTTGGATATAGTACGAGTTTTCTTAATTGTTGAGATTTCTCAAATTCATGAACATCATATTAACATCCTGTTCTTCTATATCAGAAATGCCAATTCCCCACTACTCGTTTTCATTTCAATATGTTCTTGAGAAGAACAAACTGAATGGATCGAACTTCATTGAATGGTATCGAAACCCGAGAACTGTTCTCAAACCAAAGGCTAAGAAGAAAGAAATGGGTAGGACAAGTTGGATTGTGAATCCTAGCGAGTAAAATCTTTTTCTTAATTTTAATCCATATTTGGAAGATTAAAAAAAAAAGACTTTTGAAACATTGTCTAGGGGTATTTATGTTATAGAAGTAAATGTTACTACTTCCGGTTCTACTTCTTGGGTATATGATACCGGCTGTGGTGCTCATATTTGTACGAATATGAATGGTCTAAGCAAAAGTAGAATTTTGGAGAAAGGACAAGTGGACCTACACGTAGGAATGGAGCAAGAGTTGCTGCATTAGTCGTTGGACCATTTCATTTGTCTTTACCTTCAGGCTTGGTTTTAGAACTTAAGAATTGCTACTATGTACCTGCTATAAGTAGGAATATTAATTACATTCCTTGTTTGGATTTGGAAGGATTTCAGCTTTCGATCAAAAACAAGTGTTGTTCTTTTGATCGGAATGATATCTTTTATGGTAGCGGTCCATTAGAGAATGGACTTTATATACTTGACCAAGTGTTCCTGTCTATAATATCAGTACCAAAAGATTCAAATCTAAAGACACGAATCCGACTTTTCTTTGGCATTGTCGTTTAAGCCACATAAATGAGAAACACATTCAAAAGCTTCATAGTCATTGACTTTTGATCTCATTTTATTATGAATCATATGAAAAATGTGAATCTTGTTTGTTGGGTAAAATGACTAAGGCTCTTTTGACTGGACACGGTGAAAGAGCTAAAGATTTGTTTGAACTTATACATACTGATGTATGTAGACCAATGAGTAGAAATGCCAGAGGAAACTATCAGTACTTCATCACATTTACTGCTGACTTCAGTAGATATGGCTATGTTTATCTTATGAAACATAAATCTGAACCTTTTGAAAAGTTCAAAGAATTTCATAATGAAGTACAGAGCCAGGTTGACATGAAAATAAAAGTTGTTAGATCTGATCGGAGTGGAGAATATTTGAGTCAAGCGTTTAATGATCATCTGAGAGAATGTGGAATTGTTTCAAAACCCACTCCTCCAGGAACACCACAATGGAATGGTGCGTCCGAAAGGAGAAATCGAACTTTATTAGATATGGTTTGGTCTATGATGGTTCATGCAGACCTTCCACCATCTATTTGGGGATACGCTCTCAAAACGTCTATGTTTACGCTAAACAGATGTCCATCAAAATCAGTTGAGAAGACGCCATATGAGATGTGGACTGGAAATG